GGGGAGGGAGGGAGGGGGAGGGAGGGAGAATGGGGGGAGGGAAGGAGAGGGAGAGGGAGAGAGATGGGAAGGGGCCAGGAAGAGGGAGGGAAGGAGGGAGGGAGGGAGAAAGGGCAGGAGGGAAGGAGAGGGAGAGGGAGGGAAGGAGGGGCGGAGGGAGAGAGAGGGGGAAGGAGGGACGGAGAGGGAAGGAGGGAGGGAGAGAGGGAGGGAGGGAGGGAGAAAGAGGGGGGAGGGAGAGTGGGAGGGAGGGAGAAAGAGAGAATCATTGCAAGGAGATGCGGGATATCTAAACCAAGCTTCCACTAGCAGAGACCTTGGCCCAAAAAAATCCCCAAATCCTCCCTGAGATGCAGAAAGGAATTTTGGAATAAAAAAGGTGAAAATCCGGGTTCAAAGGATAACCCAGGAATGACTTGCTGGGAGCAAAAACAGAGGAATCCCATGCTTGGTATCAAGAGGAAGAGAATTTATATTACAGTTGAATCTTTCCTTTACTTCAATCTAGGGGGAGACCCCGTTTGGAAAATTGGTTGTTCATCAAAAGGGTGTTTGAATAATGAGGTGGATGAGAAAGAGGGAGGGAGGGAGGGAGGGAGGAAGGAAGGAAGGAAGGAAGGAAGGAAGGAAGGGGAGGAAGGAAGGAAGGAAGGAAGGAAGGAAGGGGAGGAAGGAAGGGGAGGAAGGAAGGGGAGGAAGGAAGGGGAGGAAGAAGGGGTGAGGGAGAAAGGATGAGAAAGAGGAAGGAAAGAAGCAAAGGGAGGAAGAAAGGGTGAGGGAGGGAGGAAGGAGGGGAGGGAGGGAAAAAATGGGAGGGAGGAAAAGAAAGGAAGGAAGAAGGAGAAAGCGGAAAAGGAAGGAAGAAGAAAATGGGAAAGAGGTAGGGAAGGAGGAAGGAAGGAAGGAAGGAGAGGGATGGAAGAAAGGGAAGGAAGGAATAAGGGGAAAGGGGGAAAGGAAGGAAGGAACAAACATACGAACAAAATGGGAGAGAGGAAGGAACGAAATGGGAACGACGGAGGGAGGGAGAGAAGAAAGAAGAGGTAGAAAGAGGGAAAGGCAGGCAGGAGAGAGAGAGAGAGAAAAAAGAAAAGTGATACGGGGAGTGAGAAGGCTCCAGAATTTGGGGTTTCACCCATGAAAGCCCCCCACCCTCTTCTAGCATTTCATGAGAGAGGGGGGGCTCCTCTTACTCAGCCATTGGGTTACAGGGGTTGGATTTGTGGTCTTGGGGGCGGGGGCGGGGGGCAGATCATTCTATCTGGTCTCTCTACACTGTGGCACCCCAAGCCAACACCTGGGTTTGGGGCCAGCTGCTCCCAAAACCTGCAAAAATAGCAGAGATCACACGCAAAGGGTTTTTCTCCCTAAAGTCATCCTTCGAAAAATTCCACACCCAGAGAAGAATTTTTTTTGTTTTTTCCACACCCAACAAAGGGTGTGAAAGGGTGAGATTTGCAGCTGTGACTTCAGGGCCCAGTGCTGCCCCCTTTGCTGTTGAACCTCTGGGTAGGAGGCCGCTGGCTGGGATTGTGGTCCATCCGTTGTGAGTCAGCCACCTTGGGGATACCCAGCTGTGTATCTGAACACTGGGTTGACTAGGGGATGCTCTTATAAAGTCTTCTCTGCGTAGGTCTGGGTCATAATGTGGAAAAGACCAGCTGGTCTTTGGGGGTTTGGGGGCAAACCCAGATCTTCAGATGCCCCCACACACACACACTTTAGACTTGAACAGTTGCAATGCCCCCTTGGGGACCGATGTGTAATTTGGGGAACACTTTGGATCCAAGGAGCAGGTGACAACTGTGGCCAGGGAGTTCTTTGCACAAATCCACTTCAGAGCCAGTTTGCTTTAGTGCCGGCCTAGAAAGCAGGAGAAAGAGAGTTCTAGTTCCACTTCAGGCATGAAAGCCAGTTG